TTAATAGACAGGGGTGTACTCACAGGAGTCCTGAATAAAAATGAGAAAAAATATTTAGAAATTCTAAATCCCAGAACACCTATTTTTTACTTTTTACCGAAGGTGCACAAAAATTCAGAGAGACCTCCGGGCAGACCGATAATATCGGGCATTGACTCGATATCAAGCAAGGTATCTCAATATGTGGACAAAATATTACAACCGATAGTACAGGAACGTCCTTCATATCTGAAGGATACAACCAATTTATTAAAAATTTTGGAAAATGTTCAATGGGAAAAAGACTATGTTCTTGTTACGGCGGATGTCTCTTCCCTGTACACCATTATTAGACACGATTTAGGTTTGAAGGCAGTGGAATTTTTTATGAAACATCATTCCAAGTACCCAGAAGAACAAATAGGCTTTGTTTTGGAAGCCATTGAGCTAATTCTGCACAACAACTATTTTTGGTACTTGGATAATTTTTATCTGCAGTTGTGTGGTACCGCTATGGGCACCAGGTTCGCCCCCAGCTACGCCAATCTATTTATGGCATTATGGGAAAATCAATTTGTGGACATGAGCGGTAGCTGGGGGAAGAACCTGGTGTTGTATAAGCGTTATATAGATGATCTGTTTTTTATATGGAAAGGAGATGAAGAACTTTTAGAAGTATTTATTAAAGAAGTCAATTCGAATGATTGGGGAGTATCCCTAGTTTTTAATTACAGTAGATCTAAAGTAGATTTCCTTGATCTTTCGATTTGTATGGAGGATGAGATGATTAAAACTAAGACTTTCTTTAAAGCTGTCGATGTGAACAGCTATATAGAGTTGTCGAGTTGTCATTACAGTCCCTGGCTCAAGAATGTACCAAAAAGTCAACTGATCTGTATTCGAAGGAATTGTACGGACAAAGAGACATTCTTGGACCAGGGCCAGAAAATAATAGAAGATTTCAAAGCCAGAGGCTATGAAGGTAAAGATTTAAATAAGACACTAGAAGAGGTACAACAGATAGACAGGGAGTCTCTTTTGGAATATAACGGTCCAAAAAAGAATAAGAAAAATACAGAGGAGGTACCCTTTATCTGCCAATTTGCAGGTAGACATAATGGCAGATTGAGGAGCATCATTAATAAGAATTGGCATTTTTTATTGAAAGATCCGGCACTACATAATCTTTTACCTACTCAACCAAAAATTGTCCATAGAGGAGTTCCAAATATTAAAAGTATTCTGACGTTTAAACAGGACAAAAACGACAATAAAACCTTAGGGTCGTTAGAAAAATACGTAGGGTTAAAGAAAGGCTTTTATAATTGTGGGACATGCAATGCGTGTAAAGCCACAGGCTCACATAGAAATTTTAGAGATCAATTTATGTCACCAACTAAAACCTACAAGATAAAGGAATGTATAACCTGCCACACTAGTAATGTAATCTATATGCTTATCTGTCCCTGCGGACTAAGCTACATAGGTCGCACTACACGCCAGCTACATACTAGAGTAGGAGAGCATGTATACAATATCCGTAAGGGTTTTGCACTGCACCAGGTATCCTTACACTTTAAAGAACATCACAATAGTGATCCATCTGGCCTATCATTTGTTGGAATACAGAAAGCACTTTTTAATTGGAGAGGTGAAGACCGTACGAAAAAATTGGGCCAAATGGAAATGAGATGGATTTTTGAACTCAATACTCTCATTCCATTTGGCCTTAATAATGATTTTGAGTTGTGCCATTTCTTATAATATATATTTTTTTATATTATTATATTTTTTTTTATATTATTATATATTTTTAGATACATTTTTAGATATATATTTAGATATATTTTAGATGATTGTATGAAAAATTTACAATTATATATATGATCTGCACTTTGTAGCAAATGGTTCCGAATTTTGAATATAGCACTTTAAATTGGTTTTGGGGCACTTTAAATATGGGCACCCCTTTGGGGAAGGTAATACTTATTTAAAAACATTTAAAAATGGTTAAAAGTTAAAATTGACATAGAAAAGTTTAAAAGCTTGATGAAAAGTTGTATTTATATTTATATTTGTATTAACTCCCTGTTACCAATTTTCTCTCTTCTCTTAAAACCAGGTATGGTAGAATAAAATTGAGAAATGTTTGTCAATTATATGTTTAAATGTTTAAATGTCCCTATGATATCTGCATTAATATGTCTATTTAGTATAGGTAATTATGGAGTTAAGTAGAGGATGTATGGTTTTAATACACCTGTATAAAAGACACTATGATTAGGGATCCAATAGGAAGCGGAAGGATCGCTTTAAATAGTGGACGAGTAAGACAAGTCAGCATCACTGCTCTGTGTCCTGAGGAAGCTTCGGCGAAACGCGTAGACGACGCAGTGACGCACGCCTGTTACGGAGTGACGCAAAAGGGGCGGAGCACCCGGGAAGCTCAGAGAACCCCAGACCGGCATCCAGGATCTTTCAGCGGCCCGCTTTCTCTACGACATGGAGGAGACAAGAGAGAAGCCGGCTACCTGTCAACCCTGTGCCTGGACTAAGGCAACTATAAAGCGTTAGTGAGTAGCAGCTGGGACTGCATACACTCACTTATTTTTATCCTGTAAGAGGCTCATTGTTTATTTCATTTAATTTATGTAATTTTATTCAATATTGATTTTGATTTATTACTTTTATTGCTAGGAGTGTTTTATGTCTAGTGAAACGTTTATTAAATATTTGCAACTTACTATAACTGTACTTCACTATTATATGCATTTTATCTTTTTTATATCCATCTGAGTTGAAGCTGTGTAAAGGATTCCATGGAAATGTGGATCTGATTTTGCGCTCCACCTATATAAGTATTTTGTTTGATTTTTGGTGTGGGAGTTGGGTTCACACAGGTGTGTAGCAGCTTTTTGGAATTTAACCCTGTAACAGAGGTGTTTAACATTTTGAAGGTGATACAGAAACTTTTCACATTTTTTTTCTGCCACCTCATCTGTGTATACAGAATTATAGGCTTAGCGCTTTTATACTTTAAATATATTGTTATATTGCCTGGAATAGTCCCAGAGCCTCCCCACAGGACCGATTGAATGTGGTATGCACTAAACGTCCATGTTCCAGTACAATAGGTGAGGGAGGATGCAGCAGGTACACGCACTCCGTACGAGTCAGAGATATTTCTCGGAGCTCTAGCGTAAAAACTGGTTTCTCTAGCAAGTGTAGAGGGAATTAAGTGGGTGTTATTGTAATGACATTGGTGTATGTTTTTTTTTTCTTAATGTAATGTAATGCAATACCAATACACGTATCTGTGCACACCCAATGCTTTCTTATTAACAGGCAGTCATTTGTTTGGAGTTCAGAGGAAAAGACAACATTTCGGCACTGTCCTGTGCCTTTTTCAGACTTGACAAAGGTACGGCATGGGATAGTGTTGAAAAGTTTTTTCCTCTGAATTCCAAATAAAAGACGGCCTGTTAAGAAGAAAGCATTGGGGGGGCCTAGATGTATGTATTTGTTTGGGTTGGATTGATTATGAGTTGACCCGTATGGTTTGGAATATCCAGGTGGGAGTATTCCCCAAGTGAGTGTGTGCATTGCCTCCTACACGCTGCATCTCTTTGAAATGCTTGATAATAGATTTACCAATGGTAGAAAGAGGATCCAAGCACTCCAAGTATCTTGTACAACAGAAATGGTAGGCACTCACTATTGCGTGCAAAATAAATTACGAGTACCGGCTGCAGTAAACAATACAAGGATTCCCAGACCTCGTGAATGAACAGATAACAAGAAAAATAGCGTCTAGCGCGCCCAGTTTGAATATACAAAAAGTTATAAGTACATAGATCTTCAGATAACTTTAACACAGTAGACCTCAGAATAATTTATTATTGTTATATCTCTTTTATTCTGAGGTCTACTGTGTTAAAGTTCTGAAGATCTATGTCGGTATAACTTTTTGTATACTCAAACTGGGTGTGCGGTAGACGCTATTTTTAACAACTCCAAGTATCTTCAACATGGTGTCTCACTTGTCCCAATAAACACATTTGAAGATACGTGGAGTGCCTGTATCCTCTTTCTACTGATATCTACTCCCTGGGGCTGGTGCTGGCCCTCGGTCCAGTTTAGTAACCGGATCTTCACGTGATTGGAGTGCGGTTAGTTTTTTTCTCTTTTTGCAAATACTGATAATAGATTTACAACATAACAATTCTCATAAAATAATTAACATAATTTCAGAATTGGTAGTTACAGGAACGTCTATATGGGGGCTCTCGTGTCGGCTACAGAGAACACATTTGTTATGGCTGTGGAATAGTTAAGCTCTTTCAATACTATAAGAAAGGATTTCCATAGCCTGGTTTACAGTAAATTGCATCTTATTTGTTTAGATAAAGAACCTGATATTTATTCAAGTACTCATTGGGTGCACAAAATACGGATAGTTTATGCTTGTGACTTTGTTTTTTCGAGTTAGATTCTTCTTTTTTTTTTCTTTTTTTTTAAATATATATGTTCAGAGCTTTGAGCTAGTTTTACAGTAAAGAGCTTACTTTGCATTTATGAACATTTCACTAGCTTCATGATATAACGTTGGAGGTTTGGCTTCATATAAGAAAACATTCTTATATTAGCTATTTTTAAGGGGAGGTTATTTGCTATTATTTAGAAATACTCCCTATCTGCCCCGGCCTCCCCAATATTACAATGATCATCAATAGGTTTAGGTATGTAACAGTTCTATTTACTGTTTCTGATAGGTTTGTGAGGTCTGATTTAGTTTTAGGTTAATGAATTTTACAGATTTTTACAATGATTCCTGTGAATTATTTCTTCATTATACTATTATATATAATAATGTAATAATTGTATGACACCATGAGACATGCTGGATGTATGAAGGGGTGTGTATATTCCATTCAGTCATTGACCAAGGTTACAATTAAAATTCTAGTTCTGTACATTTGTTTTAGGTAAATTCAATAACAGAGATGAAAAGCAATAATACGTTGCGTTAAATAATTTAATTTATTATGATTAAGTTAATTTGATAGTAAACAGAATAAGAGATTTAATCAGTAAATAAGCAGCATATATTGGCATGCAATTATTTTCAAGCACAAGCTTCCTTGCAGCCTTAAATTCTAAATTCTTATTTCATGTAAACTGACTATACATGACTGGCTGGCTGACTCTTGGCTGGCTGACTCTTGGCTGATTGACTCACAGCTGGTTGGCTCACAGCTGGCTGGCTGTTTGCTGGCTGAGTTTGGGCTGGTTGACTCCTAGCTGGCTGGCTGATGGCTGGTGGCGTTTTGGCTGGTGGACTTACAGCTGGTTGGCTCACAGTTGATTGGCTCTTGGCTGGCTGAGCTTGGGTTGGTTGACTCACAGCTGGTTGACTATTGGCTGGCTGTGTTTCAGCTGGTTTGCTCACAGCTGGTTGACTCTTGGATGGCTGAGCTTGGGTTGGTTGACTCATTGCTGGTTGACTCTTGGCTGGCTGAGTTTGGGCTGGTTGACTCACAGCTGGTTGGCTAATTGCTGGTGGGCTCTTGGCTGGCTGTGTTTCAGCTGGTTTGCTCACAGCTGGTTGGCTATTAGCTGGCTGAGTTTGGGCTGGTTGACTCACAGCTGATTGGCTCTTGGCTAGCTGAGTTTGGGCTGGTTGGTTCACAGCTGGCTGAGTTTGGGCTTGTTGACTCACAGCTGATTGGCTCTTGGCTAGCTGAGTTTGGGCTGGTTGGTTCACAGCTGATTGGCTCTTGGCTAGCTGAGTTTGGGCTGGTTGGTTCACAGCTGGCTGAGTTTGGGTTGGTTGACTCACAGCTGGTTGACTGATAGCTGGTTGGCTCTTGGCTGGCTGAGTTTGGGATGGTTGACTCATAGCTGGTTGGCTCTTGGCTGGCTGAGTTTGAGCTGCTTGACTCACAGCTGGTTGGCTAACAGCTGGTTGGCTCTTGGCTGGCTGTGTTTCGGCTGGTTTGCTCACAGCTGGTTGGCTTTTGGCTGGCTGAGTTTGGGCTGGTTGGTTCACAGCTGGTTGGCTTTTGGCTGGCTGAGTTTGGGCTGGTTGGTTCACAGCTGGCTGATTTTGGGTTGGTTGACTCACAGCTGGTTGGCTCTTGGCTGGCTGAGTTTGGGTTGGTTTGCTCACAGATTGTTGGCTCTTTGCTGGCAGAGTTTGGGCTGGCTGACTCACAGCTGGCTGAGTTTGGGCTGGCTGACTCACAGCTGGCTGAGTTTGGGCTGGCTGAGTCACAGCTGGCTGAGTTTGGGCTGGCTGACTCACAGCTGGCTGAGTTTGGGCTGGCTGACTCACAGCTGGTTGATGCTTAGCTGGCTGGCATGCAGTTGGCTGAGGTACCACAGGTTCCACTGGATCTACTAATAACAAACACACATAGACATATTTGAACTTCATAAAAATACAAAAAGAATTTCAAAAATATATCATCAGTTTAAATATTATAGATTTATATGCGCATTTTATATTTGACCATTATGGGATATTTGTTAGTCCTATATGATCTTTATTCTTTGTATTGATTTTCTTTGTGGCACCTTGGTGTTCACATATTTTTAACAAATTCACATCACTACATCCATGATAATAACTCATAGTTACTAGTCAAAGTAGTCATAGTATAAGTAATCCTGTATTAATAACCTAACGTGTACTTGTAAACATATCAGGGTATAGTCTCCATTTTACATGAATTGTCTGGAAGTATTGATTTAACTCTATTCTCCTGCACGTGTTCTTGGATATTGCACTCTATGCTTTTTTCATTTTTCATTGCACTCCATACTTTTTTTGAAATGTTCATATAAGACATTGAAATACATGCACAAACTAATAAACTCAAATAATAAAAGATAGCAAGTCATTCACATTTTTCTGCTTCTACAAAAGTAGCGTACAATGCTTTTCAAAATCTGCAAGTCTGCGCTACAAAGGCAATGAAATAATCAGCAATTTAGGGATTTAAATGTCCTTTTTTATAGTTAAAATTTATATTTATACATATTTATTTTTTCTCTTACCAATATTGAAACATGACAGCAATAATTAATAACAAATTTAAATTATTTTACCATTTTCCCTAGACCCACCATCAATATATACACCATTAACGGCTGCGAAATATAAGGGTGTTGTCTTGAATGCTTCTCCAATTTAGAGTTGTAAACACCAGAGATAATTCTAGGGGTGTTTTGAAGTGCTAACATTTTCCCATTACTGAAGTTCTCATTATTGTTGCCATTCAACTGTCCAATGGGAATTCGCGTTGAAGTCCAGCAATTATTATGGAACTATAAAGTATTTCCATCTTCAAACAATATGGTGGACCATAAACAAACATCATAGCCATAGCTATGACAGAGCCAAACCTTCAGAACAAACGGGGGTTGTATTTGACATCTTTGCTCAAAAAGCAAAATAAATAAATTAAAACTGAAAGATATATCATTTAAGATGCATCTGTATCAGGTATGAAAAATATTTACTTCAAGTAATTTTTCTATTTATTTATTTTTCATAGTGAATAACTTACGCTGTGGTGTACTGCTATCCTTCTTTGTGTCCGCCTGGTGCTTCTCATATTGACCAACATCTTTTGGTTGATCCTTGTGACCTCCTTTGACTCCAGACATGGCTTTGAATAAGGCTTCTGGATCCAAATTGAGTAAAGAGAAATTAACGTTTGACTGTTCTCCACAAAGGAGCTGCTTTTATACTCGCTAATGGACACGAGATGACAGATTATGTCTTGCGTTGATTTTGGTATGAAGAATGCAGATATTTGAGATATGTTTTTAAGTTTGCTTACATTTCACATCCCTTTTGACAGCTGTTCCACCCACAACCCCCTTTCAAATGATTCAACATTTCATGATTCACCTGAATCTTTACGTCTCGTAATATTGTTCACCAAGGTATTTGAAGAATATAAGATTGTGTGATTTTGGGTGGACTCTGCATCTTCTTATTCAAAAAGGTGAGGTCAGTTAGATCATAAAGCAAAACAAATTTGCAGTTTACTATATATCACTCTGACTCAGTAATTATATACCTGTCTTCGTATTGTTTAAAATGTGAACTGACATCTACATGTATAAATATTACAAAGTAATTTATTCGGCAAAGTATCTTTGGTTTACTAATACGAATTATAGAATTAAAGGTTTATATTTTTTTATATCACTGTGTAATACTTTCCACTGGTATGGCAACTATGAGTATTATTTACCAATACTTTAAATGTGGAATTCTGTTTTTAAAAGAAAAACCTAAGAAATTTTTTTTTGCCTCCAAGAAGAATTAATTTACTTCTCGGTCACAAAAAAATGTGTTTGCCATTCCTGACAAAATTAATCTATCTGTGATCTTCTAACCCTGGATTTTCAGTTGCCATCAGTGAAAACAGTTTGTAAATCAGTCATAATTTATGTGTATTATTTTATAGCCATTTACATTTTATTTAATCTATAGGGAAATTTGTTAAACTCACCTGACATTTTAAAATTGTGGTTTAAAAATTCTGACCTTAGTTTGTACTTGAAGATTTCTAAGCAAAGTTCACCAATTATTTTTTATCTCAGCTATCAATTGTAGTGTTCTTCAGTAAAATACTGGATGCATGCAACACTATAAATTATTCAATTAATGTTTTAATGTATTTTTTCCATGCCTGTACTTATGGCAGCAGCATGCCGGATTTAACATTAGGCAGAATAGGCACCTGTCTACAGGCGCCTGACCACTATGGACACCTGTATTCAGAACGTATGTTAGTAACTGGTAAGTAACAGGAGTGTTGGTCAGTGTTCTCTGCAGGGCTATCTTTAATACTGATTGGACTCTGCGTCTCCCCTCTAGCGCAAGAGTGGAGAAAAGATAGATACCCATCTGCCGAACAACTTCCACGATGCAATGCAAGCTGGGGATCTACCATTTCTCCATTTTTGTAGGGTTGTATTTGTGAGCAGTGTTAGTGTTGGAATGCAGGGGTATACGCGTGTGCAGTGTTAGCCTATGTGTGTGCAGTGTTGGCATTGGAATGCTGGGACACGCATAACTACACAATTACACATACTGACACATAACATAACTACACAAATACACACACGCAGGTACCCATAGACATTGACACACAAGTACACATACACAGACACAGGTATACATTCACACAGATATACATACACACAGATGTACATACACAAACACACAGATAGATACATATAGCCAGATACACACACTGACATACACAGCTAGACACACACAGCCAGACACACACTGACACAAACACAGCCAGATACACACACAGCTAAATTCACACACACACACATATAGCCAGATGCACCGACTTAGACCCAGGTACAGACACGCATATATCAGTTTACATATTAAGCCACCCTCCTGTCTCCTTACCTTTTGGGTAAGGCTAATGGGAGTCTGTCTTTGTCAGTCCCTCTCCTCCTACTGTGTATGCCTCCTCTGTCCCAGACATACTAGTTTATACAGTGCAGATAGCAAGACAATTGTCACTTTAAGAGAGAGTCTCTAAAACTGCAGAATGCCTCAAAACAGGCAAGGGCAATTCAGAGGCAGCTTCAGGCAAGCAAAGGCTCAGGATCAGGAAGCAGGTTTAAAATATTTTAGCAGGACAAACCGAGAGGCAGGGTCAGGCAAGCAAAGATCAAAATCAGTCGGCAAAGGTTCAGGATCAGGAAGCAGTCTTAAAGTCTTAAGACAGCACAGACTGACAGTGGAGACCACTGGAGAATGACAGCAGACCAACAGTGGGTGCAGTGTGTTAGTAAGCGTTGGTGGCTGCACGTTCCAGTCTCTGCTCACGCAGAGGTCTTTCAATTTATATAGATAAATGAAAAAATCAATAAAAGTACCTTTTCCTCTAATAACTCATAATTAGTAGCCTTACTTGCATACTCAATATTAATTTTAAAACTCAGTTTATTAATAATATACAGAAAAACTAAAAAAAAAAAAAAGAAGAAGATAGCAACTGTTAAAAATAATAATATATATATTCAGAAAAAAAGCCATGCAAAAAAAAGGGAAGAAAGTCCAGACCTTGTTTGATATTCTCGGCGTCCCGAGTCAGCAAAGATAATGCTGAAAAATATCAATTAGGAAGTCCTCTTTGAAGTGCAAATGCTGGCTTGTATCGCTTCAGCGGCTGAAGTGGAGAAACGCGTCTGGAGGGGTCTGACTCCCATCGATACAAGCCAACATTTGCACTTCAAAGAGGACTTCCTAATTGATATTTTTCAGCATTATCTTTGCTGACTCGGGACGCAGAGAATATCAAACAAGGTCTGGACTTTCTTCCCTTTTTTTTGCATGGCTTTTTTCTGAATATATATATTATTATTTTTAACAGTTGCTATCTTCTTTTTTAGTTTATCTGTATATTATTAATAAACTGAGTTTTAAAATTAATATTGAGTATGCAAGTAAGGTTACTAATTATGAGTTATTAGAGGAAAAGGTACTTTTATTGATTTTTTCATTTGTCCTATATTATATAGGTTGTTAGGTCTCCTATCTTTGTACCTTACCTCTTATCTAGATTTTTTAGTTAATCAGCGCTCCACTAATCATATATTCTTCTTAAATTTATATAGATACTAGAAAAAAGGGCCTCAGAAAAAAAACTAAAGCTTCAGAATGTGGTTGGTAGGTAAATCTCAAGGGATTGACCCTAAACAAATTGCAAATAACTAATAAAGACAGGCTCCACTAGTATTCCTACCTTCAAAGAAAGATGAGCTGATGTTAAAAAGTAAACTTTATTTAATCAGTTAATTCAAGAAAACAGAAAAGTAAATATAAAGTAGGTACCCCACCCAAAGAAAATGTATCAATGTGTTAGAGTGCTCACGTGCAGTTTAAGGTTAATAACTGCAGATATAGAAAAAGAATTGCTAATTAGATTTTGATAGAGTAACCAGTAATTTGTAGCTTAGATTAATATGAGTAATTCATGACACATAACTGCCCTGATTATATAATTATTGTTTTATCATTGAGAAGTAAATATAGGCAGATAAGTCAGAATATACTCAAGCTGCTATTAAAGTGATGGTTTAAAGTTCAAATTAATAACAGTTGTAAAATTAGTGCAAATTAAAACACATCCCGAGTGTATAGTCAAAATAAACCAGAACTAGGAGAGCGAAGTGAGATTGGCCCTAGGATGCCTTGTAGATAACAAGGCTGCAGGACTTGATTAAATCCCAATTGAACTATTCAAAATTCTACAAAATGATGCTGTGAAATTTCTGCTTGCCTTATGCCAACAAATTTGGAAAACAAAGACTGGAAAAGGTCAGTCTACATCCCAATCCCTAAAAAAGGCAATGCCAAAGAGTGCTCCAATTATCGAACAATTGTACTAATTTCACATGCCAGCAAGGTAATGCTTAAGATCCTAGAAGCTCGACTAACAATATATGGACTGGGAATTACCAGAATGTACAAGCTGGGTGCTACAGAGGACGTGGTACAAGAGAAAAAATTGCCACTGTTAATTACAGTTGCAGCGGCCGGCGTCTTTAATGATTACAGACCCGGCCACTGAGATGAGGAGCCACCACCATGGGTGAGTGATTGGTGGCATTCCCATCACCACGTGTGAATGCTGCCGGACAGAGATGTGCACACTGTGCATGAGCGGACTGTGGGGATATTTATGGGATGATAATTTTAAGCAGTCGAGAATTGCCCACTATTTCAATACTCTTAGATCTCTTAGATCGTTTATCAAATAAGTGAAAAGTATTCCATCAATAATTCACAATTTGTTATAAAAATAGATTTATTTTTATTGTAACAAATTAATTAACAAATAATATTAGGCATCATGCATGATAATAATCAGTGAATATTTAGTATAACATAGTATACAATACAATGGAATGGGTATACATGTTTCAATGGCTAAACAGCATTTTCTGTCAAGACTTACACGATTTATGAGGGTATCCTTACAGACAAAAAGTGAAGCTTTTCACAGCGAAGGGCCATAAAACCCTGGCTAACAGTTAGATCAACTGAGTAACCCTTTCAATGTTGGCTAGATCCTCCTAAGCATATAGTATCCTATTCTCCTGTGATTTTCAATTAAAATAACATTTAAACCAGCTCATTAGTCATTTCCTGGAACCATCCAATAAGAATAATCTACCAGATTTTTACAAAAGTCAAAACCGAATTTTAATTTG